ACCACCACCACAGCTCCCACTCTCACCACGGAACAAAACTCTCCCGACGGCCTGTCACACACCACCCTCACCAATACCACCGCCACCTCCATGGATGTGGATTAGGTCCTAACCTGTGTTCATTGGGATCACACGTTCGCCTCACACATCGACCTGGTCGTTCACCTGCGAATCCGTCGTACAGAGACTGGCGAACCAGCGCCTAGAGCACCAACACACAGCAGACGACATCGTCCCAGTTGCCCACATTGCCCTCGTAAATCCAGCTACCTCACATGCACATGCACCTTCATGTAAACCTAGGGTAAATCTTCTCAAACGTGGCCACATCACTTTGCATTCCGCCTCACCACATGCGTCACACACGAATATCCCCAACATCGCATACCACCAACACCTCTCACTTAAGCAGTTCCTTTCCCCATGCGGATCCTCCGAAGTACGTGAGATATGTGCGCTAAATCCTTTTGTGTGTGAAACACTGGTGTGTTTGTACGGGAACTAGGTCGTATATATAGGGCACATGCAGGCGAGCTGTTCTAGGTTCTGTTAACCACCTTTCCCAATCTCAGCACCAGTTAGTTGACCGACTCAGACACCCCACTTATTCAGGGAAGAGTTGGTGATGTGGACTCCCAGGGCCCAAATTCTCACTATAAAAAAACCCGACTCGCTTAAATCCGCCACAGTACGCTAAAAGCCATAGCTTGGCGGAGGGCCAGTTGGTGTTTTATCTCAGAGCACGCAGTCAGTCCAGTTGTGTGTTTGTGTTTTGAGTGGCTGACTGGTGGACTGAGAGTCACACTGCGAGGCAGTTTTGTTAGGTGGTGTCACATTTATTTTTGGCTGCGGGTAGGCGAACCGACCAATGTTAGTTTGCACCAATCAGCAAACAGCGAATTATCGATCGGCGTCGGGGCTCCTGCTCCTATCCTCCACCCTTCAAGCATCTCTCACCATACAGTTCCCTCTTGTTTCGATCGCCATACTGTCTTTCCGGTTGCTGCGTACCCATTTTTATCTCCATTTCCCTGATGTATTAGTTTGGTCTTGAACGCTGCGTTATCAGCTACGGACTTATACGGATTACTTGACCACAAGAACGCCTAGCAGACCACCTATTGGTCTGTACAAAATGCGGGCTGTCATTTCAACCCTCATACACTGAATTCTGACTTGGGACAATATCCGGCCCCCGTCAGAGAAATGGTGATCTAAATGAACGGTACAAAATGCGAACCGTTTTTTTTCTTCGGCTGTCTCATTTAATCGATGACCCAGTCAACGAGAGATGTTTGTACTTAAGGGTACCGCAAGGCAATACCGATTCTAAGCTCAGCGTTTCGACCGTCACTGGGAACGAGGCTTACCTCGCCCGGTTCAGCCCTGATTGGATCCAGTGTCATAATCGGCAAACCACTTGCGTTGGAGAAACCGTGGGACTGCCTCCGACGCCGATGGTCGAACACGAACCAACGGCGGCAGCAGATGACGTCAACCCTTAATCATGGCTCACCTCATAGGACCCACGCGACAGTCCCATGTAACGGCTACCCGCAAGCCCCCATAAACCGGTGCACATCTACTTTCATACGGGTGACTTGAAAAAAAAGAAGATCACCGAAGCTATGACCTTCATTCTTATGCATAAAAAGGCGTTTCCGAGGCAACAGAATGCCACGCAAGATGCATAGTCAGGTGTCTATGCTGTTCATTAACCTAACGTTACCATGCGCAGCCGATTTAGGAGCAGTGAAAAGAAAGCAACCAATCCGGTCCTGTCTGTCAAATTCTTTGCTTTACCTGTTAGGGCAATTACGCAGGACGGAGGAGACGAAGGTCGAAGTGCCAAACAGGAAATTACGGTACGAAATGAGCGACGCTTTACGCTAGGCGGCCTCTCATATTCTGGAAACTGGCTGTGAGCTCAATTTCGATGGCGAAAAAGTAGTTGACCGACCGTCAGTAAGCCAGACAGAGGACTCTGTGAGGTCCAGACTGCTAAAACATCTCGACAAATCAGTCGTTTTAAGGGGTGTTTATTGTGTGGGGCAGACGTAAGTCCTGTGTGACGCAAATTCCTATTAATCCTAGATGCCATTGGGCGTTTCTGGCCGGTTTAACTTGAGTACGTCAGTGGAATCACACAGGAGTTTACATTACGACTATTTAACAAGTGCTCATAGCCATTGGATCATAAGCCATACGTGGGTTGTATAATAAACCATACTCGTAGTTGTCTGACGCAGCTGCAAAGGAGTTCGACTCATCAGTGGATTTTCCAGCTTTCTCTGTGTGCTTTCTGGCAGATACAGCAGTTTTGACCTTGCAGCTTTTTTAACTTCCGCAGAAACTAATTGCTAACTTGGAGTAAGTCAGTCTATTTGAGACTTATGGGCTCAGACTGTGACGCTAAGTATGGTATATCGTACGACCTATGCACATGTACTATTGACTGTTTGTTGGCGGTTTAAGAGTTTTCAGCAGTTATTCCGTTAAGGCCCGGATATTCATGTCAAGTATCAGTTCGAGCCTTTAACTCCCAAATAGACTGGTTTGCTCCAAGTTAGCGATTAATGTTTAAGGAAACTAAAAAAAGCTGCAATAGGTTTCCACCTGGTTCCATAGGCCTTCCGCCTGTTTCAGGATACCTTGAATTGTCAAGGTTTACATGATATCTTACACTTTGTCAGTAGCACAAATGCCGTCGTAGAGGCCGGATTCTCTCTCATGGATAGCTTATCTTGCAACGAAAAAACAGTCAACTTTCCCCTTTGACACCTACTTAACTGTACTTTCGTAATTATTTCGAATATGAAATAATCCCCCTGTTGCTTAATTTAAAAAGCGACATTGACCATTGGTATTTCAGCATCATCCGGTTTTACCACAGTTGTCGGCCCTCGAGCGGACCAAATTGCATCTAGGAATGACCCGATAGTTCGACCGTCGGCGCCGACGATGTCCACCGTGTGTTCCACAGCGAGATGGGAGCAGGCACAGTGACTTGTGAGTGAATTAGTTTGTAGTGATAGTAGACTTGCACAGCATCCTCCGCACTCTCCCCTCCTACCCCACCAGGACCCGGTGTCATGACAGAGCCAAGAAGACGGGAGGCGGGGGAAGACGCAGATGGATGGCGTGGTCAAACCCGCGCCTTGGCGTTCCACTCAACACCCCTGATCCACACAACAAATAACCAGGCTTTTGACTCACAGCAACAATGGTGCGTGTGGGGGGGGGGGGTAACAGAGCCCCAGTACGCGCGACGTACCCTGACAGCCGAGTCCGCTACCGCATCCCGAAATGTTGGCATTAGTTATGGTGCGCAACTTCGATAACGCCTGCCAGAGTCCAATATGGCCCCGTATTGGTCCAGCGCATCTACCACGTGACCCGTTTGGGGGCACAGGAGTGACGCACTGACAGTATATAGGCCTGGATGAGGTGACAATCCAACATGCAAGTGCGTATTCAGGCTGCGGGCAAAATAGTGAGCGCACACTAACCAACATAACCGGACTGAAGTCTTGACCAGCAATCGACAAGGAAAGCCAACCACTGGGGGGGGGAGGTTGTTGGGCACTGAACCCAGAGGTGCTGTCACAAGTGGCATTTCCCGCGGAGGCGGCGGGTCAGGTGTTTTTTTTGCGAGTTCATGGCAGCAAGGCCAAGGGGCCAGGGCCCATGCACACACGTGTTGCCTTATACGGGGCAAAGATGGACGTAGTTGGTTGGGCGCGTGTCCGTCCCTGTTGAAGCGCCCCAGTTAAGCTACTGAGGTAACCGCTTCTTAACTCTGTTTTTGGTTATCAGCCATGATAGGATCTAGTGCCGTTGCGGGCAAACTGCGTTGGGGAAACTGGGAGACCGCCTTCGACGCGGATGGCCGAACACGCATCAACGGCGATAAAGAAATGGCGCCAACCCTTAAGCATGGCTC